CCGCAGCACTTCATGCCGGTAAACAAATGATTTAAACTTAGTCATAAGAATACAATAGCTGGATACCGATGAACATGATAAAGTGAAAAAAAGTTTTCACGCATCCTTCAAACATTAAACCACTGCTAGAAACAACTCAGAAACTTCAATTCCTTTACTTTCAAAAACTAAACAGTTGAATAAAGTAAAATAAATCAAAAACAGTGAAGAAAAAACGCTTCTTACCTAAACGTTAATTGCATCCTAAAAAAGTTTAAGAACTATGACCTGCTAAAATTCGGTGCGAAAAAAACACGCCTGAAACGAAGAAAAGACAATAAAAACCCTGGTTCCTAAAACATCCCTTGATATTTAAATAAATTAAAACTTTTCTCCCACAAAAACCTCCAGTCGGTCAGTTAGTTAATCACTTTTACTTAAGATTACTCCGAATTGCAGATTAGATAGTTGTCTCTCCATCAAAGGTGCAAAATCAAAAACAGCGGTCAAGATAAAACACACCGATCGAGTAGTTACTACCCCGCACTGATCTTTCCGCACTGATATCGAAGTTGTACGACGTCCTGTCTCATGAGAAACACAATGCTCATCGTTTGAATGCCCCACAACAAATACCCGACCTTGAAAGACGCTTTCCGTCAAGAACACAACTTCGATAGTGTCTTCGCCGCATTCAACCTCAGCTTTCCCTAAAAATCAAGCAAAAGAAAATGAGCAAACCAGAACAAATGGTTAAATTCGTTAAAAGTTGATACTCCATTTAACATGTTCAAAATATTTCTTTTTTCAAATTAAACTTCAACCTGTCTAATATAGTTGGCAGCGGCCTAAAGTGCACGAATGTAAAACAAAAAATGAACTATAAGCTACCCAGAGATAAATCGTCTAATACACTCAGACTTCTAATTGCTGCTGGAAAAATTAATGGGGTTCAAAACAGATGCCCAACTTAAATATTTCTGTTCAATGTTCAAAATACACAATTTGGAAGCAAAATAAGAATTCAATTTTCATGAAAAAAAATTAGAAAAAAAATTAGAATTCAAACAAAAAAAAAGAAACACCTCTGAAATTCTTGCAAAAAATAACAATTAAGACTACGTATAACACTAAAAATAAAAAAAAATGCACTGCTCTTAGCCTCAAAGTGACTCGGTTTTCAAACGAGTCTCTTAAAAAACTACATATTGAGAAGTGCCAAAATAGTACCAATTTGAGAGTTTGGAATCGGTATACAGTGAGTTGAAAAAGCGAAACTGAGGATGAGCAGCAGCGCGCATTTGGGGATCATCATTTTGGCACTAAAGGCATTTTGCATCACTGTCGTTTTCTTGTAGTTTGTTATGTTCCGTTTCTTTGAACGTTCGTCTTGCCTTAGGGCAAAGATGCCCCAAAGGAACTTTTGTTTAATTGCGACACTGTCCACTGCTGGTGGGCTTCTCTTTCTCAGCGGGCATTTGCGCTCTCTCCGATACGGTCCATGGCAATCCCCTTGACGCTCACCCCTGTCCATCCCCGGAACTTTCAGTCCAGTTTTTCACAAAATAACCCTTTGCTGTCCTTTCCTATTGCTGTTCCTTCACTTTGAACTTTTCGGTAGTGATGTCAGGAAAAAACCCTTTTTCCGAATTTTCTTGTCACTGGTGTTCCTGGAAAGTTGTCTGATTTTTTTTTCTAATCCGTGAATGGATGGATGGATCCGAGTCGATGGTTTAATGGCTGTCGTTAAGGTTATAGACAGTTGATGATCAACATGTTCGTGTCCTTGACGACGAAGAAATTTTATCAGCAATATTTCATCCTTCTGGGATAGTAGCATTTAAGATTTTTTTCAAAAAATGCATTGTATGAAGCCAAAGCTGAGTTCTAGTTTAGGAAATAGATTTTAGAAGAACGGTTGAATTATTGCAGCGACACATGTAGATTTAACAACAGCTATATCAAAAAAAAGAGGAACTGCATTTACTGCTGCTTACTGGTGAGAAAGAATTTTTGCCTATCGCGCATTATCTGTAGTTATTTGAACAAGTACGCATTGGTAAATTTTTTTTTCTGCTAGTTCATCTGTCAATGAAAGCTAAAAAATGGTTTGAAAATCAAGGGCTACTTTTTTATTGTAAGTTTCTGTGTAAGTAGCTTTGACAAAGAACAAGCTTATTTTTTGATTTTAAAATTGTTTTTATTCACCAAATGAGCAATAAAAGTTGTCTATAAAAGACGTAATAAACAGATCGTAAATTGACAGGTATTTTAAATATTACGATTATTTTAAAGCCTGCAATCTATTAATGCTAATTCAAAGTGTTTTAAAAAACTTGTTCAGAGAATCGTCGCTGAAAAAAAAAAACATGCGTATGCGCTTGCTGAATTCTTATGGCAGATCTTGTTGAAAAAATGGAAAGTGAAACATCAGATAAGATGCGTGTTTGTTGCAGTCAAAATTTTATTTTTGGACATATAGCTAATAGTCTTTATATTAAGGGAGGATGAACAGTGACCATCAATTTGGTTGCGTGTTAATCATTATATTTTAACCATACAAACAACGGGATGTTTGCAATATTAAGGGTGAAAAATGAATTCAGAAATATTAAAAGAACATGTTATCCCTTAGATTGGCCATATAAATTGAATGAAATGAATGTGGAGAGGCTTAACAAAGCAGATTAGTTTGTGTGCTTCCTGAAGAGGATTGAAACAAATTAGCTTTAGTAAATTTAGCTTATTAAAGTTTGTAAAGTTTCGCGTCTGGTTTACCTATTGATGATTTAAAAGCTGGTTTTTGAATCTGAAAAGCTTTGGTTGAAAACCGCTTTGTTTGTGTGATCAGCATTCCACTGTGACTTTTTTTTGCTTGTTCAGTTAGGAGTAAATAAGCATGTACATATTTTGAAAGTGGTTTTATTAGAACAAGTTCCGTTAGTATTGAAAGTTTTATCGCAGTGGCCGCTCAAAGAAAGTTTTCAAGATGAAGTTTGTCGTGGCAGAAAGGTTTAGATGGGCATTTAGTACTGGAGTAACAAGTTGGCAGCAAACTGTCAAGCACCATTGCGTTGACGGTCCCAGTCTGTTTTTCAGTAATGTTTACTCATTCATGGCTGTGGTGGATGTCTGGTGCTGTTAGTCACCCATTACCGCTCCGTTTTGTACGGTGAATTCCTTTTAGCTTTTTTTCGCATATTTGGTCCTTGACTGTTGTTCTGGTATTATAGAAGAAAAACCGCATTTTTCCGCCATTTGAAAAAACCAGGAATGTGGCTGTTCCGAGCTGGCGACGCAGCTATTTTAAGCATGTAAAAGTGATCTTATTTCAGTCGTTCACTGAGGCGGTTAGTTTTTTTTCATTGAAGTGTAGTTGTTTATGGTGTTGATGGTAGAATTAAAATTTGTAAAACTACTAAAGAAAGGAGGGCTTTTCAAAGGTTTGGTATGTTAAAGCCTGAGGAGCTCGTGGCTATGAGTTTGCAAAGAACATTTTAAGAATCTGGTGCGTCAAGATACAATTCTCTTCAGGATACAGAATGACTCTAAAATCAAAAAAAAAGTAAAATTAACTTGCCAACAATTTGTTTGCGCTTAGGTGTACTCCTCTTGCAAAATCAGGGTCTGGTATTAAACTGAATGCCAAGAATATTGGTAAGAAACCTTACATGTCTCATAGGGTTCTCCTAAAACAGTTTTTAGGAAATTGCTATTTTCCGTCAAGTCTACTTGTCGCGTTAAAGCAAAGTCTCTCAGGCTGAAGAGATGGAAGCGGTGGATCGGGAGCATTTTCCCAAGCTGGGAAGACAGGAGAAGATGAAGGCAAACCCGTCGAAACCGCGGGGGAAGGACTGCTAATCCTAAGAAGACGCCTACTGAGAAGCAAGTGCCGGCGGGGTCGGATCAACTCTGGATGCCAACTCCGCCCAGCACGGGATACTATATAGCCAGAAAAAGTGAGCACTGGAGACGTGATTTGATTCTAACTGTTCTTATTT